TATTAGTGATGTTGTGGGTGATAGAGGCATTGGGTGGAAGGAAGCTTTGCTTGATTCTACGCTCGAGAGGATTAGAATGGAAAGCGGGGAGATTCCCATTGAGTGATATTGGACACCTTGTCGTACTTTCTGCATGGAGATTGAGCATAATGGGTAGAGTTCCTATTGATGGATCATAATGGGTTTAGGTAGATCAGCAATAATTAGATAATATCACTGTAATATATGTCGTCTTCATGTCGAAGGGCATTATAATCGATGTTCTTTTTCATATAGACTTCTCATCGTATTTATTCTGTAACGGCCCATCAAGTGGAGTCGTTCACGTTGGGCGAATTCAAATCTGTGAATATTTTTCAATTTTCTGAGGCAACGAGCTGAAGGCCGATATGTCCGATCCAGGTCTTTGCTCTTGCCTTCGTGCCTGTCATCTCGCAGTTCGATTCTCGACACTGGTACAATGCTGCTTTTTCAAAGCCCACTCAACCTCTTCTTCCTCATTCCCATCACTACCTGGTGGCCTCCGACCAACAGCTAACCTTTGCTGATGCCCTCCAACGCGCACGACACACTCATGGACGCACTCTGGATTGATGGCCTCATAGATGGACGATCTGATACTCCTGCTTATAAGGTTCGAGTGACGACTTATATGGCGCGAGGTAAAAATGACCTCTTTGCTTATTACAGGGATCAAGCCAAGACCGCATCGCGCCCGAGACGTCCATGACCGCCTCTCCTAAGCGCGTCGAGTTCGTCGACGATGTCGCAAAGCAGGAGTCATGCAGCGCCAGCATTCAGAGGCGGGCTGTGTCTCATAAGGTATGATGAACACGTATATTTGATAACATTTCTAAGACGATCCTTACAGAATAGTCTGGGATCGCCTCCACCCTACCCACTACCACCTACACCATATCCCACATTCTCGAAGCCTGTCATCGTCCAACTCGATGACGGCTCTGAAACACCTCGCGAAGCGAACGACGCATCTGATCCTCCATCGTCTATACCCCCGAGTCATTCTCTACCACTTTGGGCGAAGGCTTTCGATCCGCTTACCACGCAACTACTTTCACGTTCGGAATCTTCAAATTCAATTGAGAGCGAACTCGAGAGGGAGCTTTTCCAGGGGCTGAAGTTTCTTGATGGACCGTTTCCTGCTATTTCAAGATCAGTCTCTTCGATCAAACCGGCGGCGATCTCTGCGATGCCAACGACCAGCTCCTCCCGCATTTCAGTGAGGCAGAAGCCCTCTCCGCGTTTGGATCTCACACCTGCTGCCATCCAAGCAGTGCAAGACAAATCCGCTTCTCCAAAATTTACGAACGAGTCTCTTACGCTCCCGCTGGCCTCTCCCACTCGTCCTAGGCACGCATGTACTCCCTCAGATACCTCGACTGGCGCTACAATATCGACCGTCATCCAGAAGGTCACCATAACATCCGTATCACGATCTGCATGTCTGCCTTCTTCTCCTTCTCTTCCGCTCTTCGCTTCCCCAATATCCGATGCTGCTTCTCCGTCTCTTCTAGACGACTTACATGATATGTCCGCGGACTTCGAACACATCACTAATGATTGGGGTGACTCTTTCGATGCTCAAGCTACCACAGCGGAGCCTCCCTCTACCTGGATTCCTATTATTCGTCCTGCGGAAGATGGCTGTGCCTTACCGAATCGGAGTCAGATCAGAACTAGGAAGATGAGAGGTAGCGAGGTAGCTGTGATGCGGTTGACTCAGTATCTGGAGAATCGGGAGCAGAGGGACACCAAAGATTGCAAGCGAAGAGGGAAGATCTTCTCTCGGTGACAGGTCGTCTCATCTGATCGTGTTCACCCACAAGCGCTTGGCTTTCGCAGGCTGTATGGCTTCATTCCTTCACACTACACAATCCTTTTCTCTGGTTATCCAACGTGCTATCTTCGTGTACCGTTTCCCTTTCCGCTCCTTGCACATTCTCGCTTCCTGTTCACCCACTTCCGCTTTCACCCTGTTCACACGTTTTCTCCAGAATTCTTTTACTTCTTCCCTGTTCACATGCTTCGTTGGCTATCTATAACATCGCTTTTCCTTATTATCTAGAGGCTTCCTCAAACGATGGTTGAAGGCCCAAGATCAAAGGCTTCTGCACTATTTCGATTTCTCCCGACTTCGTCACGCAGACGTGACTATTATGTGACGCAAAGGTCTAGACTCCTTGACAACGCGTTATGTCCGTGAATCGGACTCCGCACTTTGTTTCCGTACTCTGCGCTCGAAATTTACTCTCTTCGCAACTGCCACCACAGCCAGCCCAATCCGCATCCTAATCTATACAATCTCTCTTCGAATCTAAAACATTTCCCACTATCATGCCTCCGAGATCTTCTAAGCCACGACCAAAGCCCAAATTTGTCCGTCTTCATCCAGATGACCCGGCTGATTTATTGGATCCTGTCTTCCTCGAAGGTAAGACACACCTCTCAATATCTCATGCCACTCCCATAAACAAATTCAAGACCCCGCTGAATTCGTTCCGTACGGTAATGACTTTGGTGAGACCGTGTGTTGGGGTCTAAAACCATACGATAAGTATGGCTATGAGGTGTCCAATCAAATATTTGAGGCGATGAGGAAGGTGAGCGACTGGATCCTGTTCATGAGTTTCGTTGAAATACTAATGGGCTGCTCAGATGCAAGCCCAAATGCCGTATTTGGAATGGCATTTGCCTCCACCAGAGAATCAATTCGTTAACGCTCTTATCAAGAAAAAGGTTCGTTCACGCCACCATGCCACCGATACCGCGTCTAGCTTGTGTATCTGATACTATTCGACTGATAGGAAGCGGATCTCGCTTCGTTGCACATTGACCATCTTCGTCGTCGGGATTTTGTTCTCAAGATCTACATGCCGTACACACATTTCTCAATGCAACCCCGTACCTGCTAATTTTTTCCAAGTGATATTCCCAAAACATTGCGTTCCTTGGATGATATTAAGAGACATAGACGACGTGTAGCTCTCGGCGAGGAACTTATCTATCGACGATTCAAAGTATCCGGTGGCATCAACTTGGAAGCCTTTCAAGACAAGGTGTTGCAACCTATCATGGGCTGGTATGTGATTTCTTCTAGTCATTGTGATCCTCGTAGTCTGAGTTATGCTTGTTCAATAGGGACCGTAATGCCCATGCATACCTCTTCACCGATCTCAGCGACGGTGCAGGCTTTGGACCGAGAGTACGACTTGTTCCTGCTAAGTGGCCGCACGCTGATGTCTTTCGGTACAGGATGCTTCGACAATTGATATATCCCACAAGGACGGCGTAGGCTATGAATTCTTACACGCCGATGAATATGTTCTTGCGCATCTTGTGCAGAGTGAGTGTGAGGTGTTTGAATATCTGTATGATTACGGAGATAATTGGGTTCATCGCGTTCAGGTGATTGATTTATTTTTCGATGATTGTGGGAAGTGATTTTCATTTTGGGTTGTGTGTAGGTCGATGCGATCTTGTCTGTTGAGGATAGCGATGGGGCGTTATGGTACTTGAAGGACGAGGTATGTGTCCACCCGAGAACAGTCGAGGAAATGGGTACGTTTTTTTCATCATTATCGTGCGGAACACACTGCGACTTAAGTCAACATGATTTAGACGATGGGCCGGGAGCATGTACGAATATTATCATGGCTCTGGCGAATCGAAGAAGGAGGCGATCGAGATGATGCAATGGGCCGACAACTATCAAGGTAAAGCCGTCAACGGAAAATATGATCTCTTCCATTTCTCACTGGCAATCGAAGAAACTCAGGCGGACGTCTCAGAAGCTCTATCATCCGCAGCGTCCGTCCGAAGTGGAGGAAAGACGTTCATTCAACAAATGACACCGAGTTTCGATCCCATGTCTATGTTTGGGGGATTCCCGTCTCGTAAACCTTTGAAGAAGGGAGAGTCGATCGCTAGGACTTTTGATGAGAGGACTGTGCATCCTTCTTTGCCGAGTTATATGCAGGAAACTGTGTCTGACCGAAGGGATAAGGCTAAGATTGCGCTTTGTGCGACTTGCGGAACGACACATGAGTTGAAAGCTTGTTCTCGATGCCGGAAGATGTGGTATTGCGGGGGTGAACATCAAAAGTGAGTCACGGATGGGTATATGGTCTTGAGTACGGTGCTAATTTTTCTCTAGGCAACATTGGAAAACGCATAAGCGGGATTGTGTCGCGGCGGAGGCATCTTAATATCCTACTGATCTTGATCATTTTCGTCTGATGTTCCAGTTTTCAGAACATTTGTCCGTGGAAGTTCGGCTGAATTGGCTCTTGCATTTTTCTCCATCGGACCATAACAAACCCTAATCGCCTACTTTTATTTGTATTATTCGATATCGTCCACAGTCGATTATATAACGACCAGTTCTCATACATTCTCGACTCGTTCAAACGCACATGCACGTGACTGGCATCATTGTGCCAAGTTTCCAACGCCGTGTCTACTCGAAATGATCGATTCCTTCAATCGCGTCAACCTACAATTTACACATCTCCATACGAGAGTTCCCGGCCAACGGAGCTGTAACCGTGAGAACAATTTCCCCGAAGGGATCTTGCCCCCCTGCGAGCTTGCCTGCGAGTTCGACCCCCGCGGTGGGCGATTGTCAGTGTGCATGCGCTTCGCGAAAGCAACTGTTCAATTGACTAAACCACAAGTCGTTCCTACGGAATTACAGATATTGGTGACTAATGGTCTCAGTGCTATTGATGCGGTCTATCGGCTACGGACTGTCTCGCTCAATCGTCAACCTATCATTCCGTAGCCGTACTAGATCTTTTTGGAGCAAGTCCGAGCAACGGAATCTATGACATGTCTTGTGAATCTTGCTAATCCCTTTGCACAAGTACTTTGGACCTCGATAAAAATCCAGAAAATCCAAAAGTTGGACTTACGACATTCTACGGGTCTCAACTCTCAAGAACGTTGCTAGAGCATAAAAGCAAAATGAAAAAGGAAACTATAGCCCACCGTGGGAATCGAACCCACAGCCTTCAGATGCCGAATCGGCACTCGCTTCTTAAGAGTCTGACGCTCTATCCGATTGAGCTAGGCGGGCTGCCTTGACGTCACAGGTCACTCAGGCGTTACGACGAGTCTGGGCCTGTCACGGAGACACTGAACCGAAAAGGCAAGTCGCGTGCACCAGCTATCATAATGACCTGCTATCGGTACAGTAGCTGGGCAACGTGGGCAATGAACCTAGTCTCGGGTTATACTGTACTTGTACAGTCTCAATGTAGCCATGAGCGGCTGAGCAAACTCAATTTCAATCCTCAGAAGGTGGTGGTCGATACTAGTAGTCTAGCAGCATTAATGAGAAAGCTACGATTTAGTAAACTTGACAATTTCTGTCGGTAGCGATGGCTGATGGATCTTGTGAACGGAGGGTTGACGTTGTTGGGTCGTGAAAGCTGGATTTCTCCGAGGTTCAAGTCTAGTCAACGTGAAGGTCAAGAGAGAGTTGGCAACAGACTTCTTCGATTTTCAAGCGACACGCCTACCATTATCGCAGACCGTCCTAGATGACCGGCTACACGGCCAACGGCCTGCGCCTAAAGTTGGACAAGCTGTTCTAGTACTCGAAGCGTATCTTGAAGTCTTGGGATTTTTGGGGGGTGGATCGGCTGGTGATTGAGAACGAGTGCGAGTTCGAGGCTAGGGCTGGGAAAGTTGGGGTCCTGAGATATCGATAGCACTGGGAGTAGCCATGCCATCGCATCTCTGAGTCGGGGGCAGATTCCATGAGTCCATTCGGACAAAATAATCATATGCATTGGTCATGTCGCAAGAGCACAATATCGCGATCGTGGTATATGTTCCAGACGGCGAGAGGACCAAGAATTCATACTTGTCTGATGTTGAGAATGGATTTTTCTCTGAGACCGATATTTCGATAGCGCACTGATCATGGTGAAGTTGCAAAGCACATCATATAGGGCCTCCAATCTTGTACTTGGAAGCTCACACGATCTCCCTAGTCCTCTTCGTTGGTGAGGGGAGGAGGCAAAAGACTGGTCATGGCCGTAATGGGAGGATTACATGAGAATGACGTATCGAAGAAGGCAAATCAATCCGGCAAATCCCATCCCTATCAAGCACGAGCATCCTCAGGCTCAGCTCAGCGCCCACGAGCGACACGCTCGATCTCAGTTCTCTGAGCGTGTTCCAGCGAGACGAGACTGAACACGGACGGACTCGGACAAGATGACGAAAATGGCGTCCGAGTTCCTCGCTTCGCATTCCCTCCTTCAGTACCTGACGTCCTCTCGCCATCCCTCGGCCGTATTCTCGACTTTCCGTCCACCGGGATCAGCTGCTATAAGCCTCTTACCGATATGGGCCAACAAAGCATTTACGAGGTTTATTACGTGGCATCCTTCGTCGCTGGCTAGCGCGGGTGCGAATACGACGCAGGAAATTGTGATGACGGGTAATGACCCGAAGAATCTTGCGACACCTGCTGAAGAACGATATTCCGGCTCGTCAAAGTTCCTCTCTACTTTCCCTTCTGCGTCTTCCGTTGCGCACTTTGGGACGTGGCTTCAATCTTCTTCGGATTCGGCAACTTTGCGAGTTAAACTGAATGCTTATGGAAGAGAAGGGGATGAATGGGTTGTTGAGTTTGTTCTTGGGAAGAGTCTTGTGAGGGAGGAGTATATCGTGCTTGTGTGCACGCCTCTGGATCCGATTCCTAAACCACCGACGACGACGACGGCCGTGGGTTCGTCGAGTTCGTCGGGAAGTTACAAGAATCCCGCTCTCCACCTCGGCCCTCTCCCGCCTCCTTCACTCTCCCCATCAACAGCCTCCACATCATCCCGCTCCTCCTCCTCCTCATCATCATCATCGCGTCCCGCTCTCCCTCCTCCAATATCGCGCCCACTCTCCTCCCCCTCCCCACACTACGGCTCAATCCACACCCTCTACAAAACCCACCCCTGGCCTCTCGTCGGTCTCCCCCCTTACACCCTCTGGCCCCAATCCCTAAAAACCACCACATCCTACATCCTCGCATCCACCTACCCTTCAGCACTATGGTGGGGTCCCTCTCTAATCCTAATGTACAACGATGCCTACGCCTCTATGTCCCTTTCCAAACATCCTTCGATTTTCGGGAAGGCAGGTTCGGAAGCTTGGGGAGAGCTGTGGGATAGTTTGGGGGTGGAGGCGGAGAGGGCGATGAGGGGGGAGGTGGTGGCGAAAAGTGATGATTTGCTGTTTTTTAATAATTTGGGGGTGGAGAGGAGGAGGCAGGAGACTTATCATACCTGGAGTTGGGTACCTGTTAGGAAGGAGGATGGGGAGGTTGGAGGGCTTTTGAATATGAATTTTGGTACGGTTCTTCTCTTCATTCTGATGCGAAATTCTTACCATGTTCTAGATACGAGTCAGAAAGTCATTGCGGCTCGCAGACTAGATTGTCTTCGCACCCTCGTCGAACGAACAGTCGTCGCACGCACCCCCGCACATTTCGCAAATGCCGTTCTATCCGTCCTCGACGAATTCACCATCGACGCTCCCTTCGCCGCATTCTATTTTACAGAAGCAGAATTGTCATCACCAAAATCATCGAACTCCTCTTCCACGGAAATTGGGGGAGGAGTGGCAGCGAAGATGAAAGTAACAATGACGATGTCGAGTTCGTCGGGTGTTCCGGTTGATAATCCGTATTTGCCGGAGAAGATATGGGTTGAGTATGATGCTGAGGGAAGGGGACGGGTGTCTACTTCTCCCAACTTCTTCTCCACATCCACATCCACATCCACCGCCTCTCCTCCCTCTGCCTCTACGTCTGCCTCCACCGCTCCTCCATCTTCGTCTACCTCTACATCGGCCGACGCCAAGGACGGAGCCTTCTCCTGGCCGTTACTCCCCGCCCTCACCACTTCCTCCTCCTCTTCCCAATCCGCACAATCTCCAATCCCGATCCCCTCACACGTAGCAGAGTCTTTCGACTGGAGGAATAAAGGATGGGGGGAGGTAGTAAGAGATGCAGTCGTCATTCCTATCAGCGTGGATTCGGATTCGGATCATCATGATCATGGTCCTGAAGTCGAAGGAGAGGAACGAGAGGAAAGGGAAGCGGAAGCTGAAGGAGGTGAATATGGGTATGGGAATTTACATGGGGGGAGACAGTTTGGGAGACTTCATAGTCAATCTCAATCGAGGCAATCTAATCCCTCCAACCCCTCGAATCCCTCGAATCCATCCAATCCATCGACGTCTTCTCAACGATCTACCCGATCTAAACCACCCAAGCCCCCTCGCGCGATTCTGATTATAGGATTGAACTCCCGAAGGCCATACGATGCCGATTATAGAGATTGGATTGATCTGGTTAGAGTTAATCTGGGTACTGCGTTAGGGACTGTCGTTCATCGCGAGTCTGAGATTCGTCGAGCCGAGTGAGTCTTTCTCTTTCTTCGTTATCGTGCTTTGTCTCTTTTGGTCCTTTTATGATCGTCGTTCGCTTTTACTTCTCCTTTAACGTTTCCTTTTCATCAATTTCCTTCTTCTGCTCAAATATGACGCTGACTTCGAACTGTATAGACAACTTCAATCACTCGATGCTGCGAAATCAGCTTTCTTCTCCAATGCATCGCATGAGCTTCGGACGCCTTTAACGCTGATCAGCGGGCCCCTCGAAGAGATCCTCTCCCTCTCCCACTCCTCCCACTCCTCCGAGCCCTCCTCCAATCTCGACATCCCCGCCGAATCCCGTTCCGGAGCCGAATCTCGTACCGAACCTCGCTCCTCCAAAGCTCTCTCAAAGATCCACGCACGAGCAACTCTCGCAACGCGAAATGTCACCCGTTTAACTCGACTTGTGGATTCGCTTCTTGATTTTTCGAAGATTGAGGGGGGGAAGATGAGGGGGTGTTTTAGGCCTGTGTATATTGGGGGATTTACGGTGGATTTGGCTAGTTTGTTTAGGAGTGTTGTGGAGAGGAGTAGTATTGAGGTGGGTTCTTGTTAGCTTCGTCTTCGCCTTTCGGCCTTCTTCGTCGAACCTGATTGCTGACGGATGTTTCAGTTTATTGTAGAATGCGATGAGGACGATCGGGTGTGTTATGTTGATCCGGAGTACGTTCCCTTACCTTTCCACACTGAAGAATCGTCACTGATTGATTTATAGTCTGTGGGAAAAGATCTGCTTCAACCTCATCGGGAATGCATTCAAATGTCCGTCCTTCAATCCGCTGTATCTCATCACACGTATCTCATCACACGTATCTCATCACACTGAATCGTTCCAGACACACTAAAAGGCCGGATAGAAGTCCGCATTCGGTATTCCAAGGATCATGTCATATTCAGCGTCGCTGATACAGGCGTTGGGATTCCGTTAAGTGATATACATAAGATTGGGGAGAGGTTTCATCGAGTATCTGTACGTTATTCTCTATTGTAGGAAGCTCAAGAGATGAAGCTGATGGACGTAGAGTATATCTAGGAGTCATGAAGGCACTGGCATCGGTCTTTCGTTAACTCGAGTACGTCCCTCCTCCCCGTGAAGACTCGCAACTGACATAGTGATAAAGGAATTAATAAAACTACACAACGGAACCATGTCAATCGAATCCAACACAGCCTCCGAATCTCCCGACGGCTCACACGGAAGCACATTCACCGTCACCCTCCCCCTAGGCAAAGATCACCTCTCAGCCGAATTCATCGAAGAATCAGCTTCTGCTTCGGAGGTACTTACACAGCGGAAATATGCGCTGGGGATTATTGAGGAGGCGAGTTCGTGGATTGTTGGAAGGGGGATGGGGACGCCGGGTGTGGAGGGGACACTGGGGACTCCGAGCGAGTTTGGGGTGGGGAGTAGTGAGGGGTCTGCTGGGAGTGGAGGGGGCAGTGGAGGCAGTGGGGGAGGAGGAGGGGGGAGTGAGGAGAGGGAGAGTAGTGAGGGGAGTCGGTTGGATCGGAGTATGCTTTTCTTTTCGAAGATGGATGTTATCCTTCTTGGTACGTTTCGTTCTCGCTCGATGCTTGACGGAGGTTAATGAAGGGTTGTAGTTGATGATAATGCGGATATGCGAAGAGTGAGTA